CGGCATGTCGTGCAACTGGAGACTGTTAGCTACGATTCGCATACGCATGGTACGCGATCACAAGGAATACGAAAGCAAAGAAAGGGAAACCTTACACATGGTCACCCCATGCACCCATAGCCGGGTCATAGAGACCACCAGGAACGGGGTTGTTAAAAGAATCCAATGTCGGAGTATTATGGATTCGCTTGACCGAGATGGCCTTGATGTCTTGATCATTGTAGACACCAAACTCAATCCCCGCAATGGAGGAGGCCACAGGCCGAGCGAAAGTAGTCATGATTCCCCTGGCAGCCGCTTGAGCGACAAACGACGCTGGCGGTGCAAATTCTGGGACTCGTGGGGGATTAAAGGCCTGGGAAGCAGAAAAGGCGGGTTCGTCGGTCTCGACGATGCGAAAAGTTTCACCCAACTTTTTTTCTGCCGTGCGACACCGCCGGCGGACCCACGTTGGCACTTGCAGCGCCCCGTGATTTGAGATCCTTTCCTTGTCTCGATTGTTGACGTCTTTTCGCGACCGGCCCCAGATCTTGCTTATTGAGCTGCCTTTCTTCGACCCTCTCACTTCAATCCCATCGCTAGTCTGTCGGTCGCTCTGCTGATCTCCGTGGGTGAGTGGAGCATTCAATTGTCTCTCCGATCATGGCGGACATATCAGGCAACATGCTGAAGCGGCCTCACCCCGAGGACCAAGACAACAACACTCAGAAAAGACCTCGTTCCAATCATGGATCCCCCATGCCAGCCCAAGGCGCACCTGCCGCGGGCAAGGTTGATATTGAAAGAATGGTGGCCGAAGCAAGAGCAAAAGCAGAAGCTGTGCGTGCCAGACTTCAAGCGGCAAAGGGTATATCGCCATCGCCTACACCGGCTGCATCAAGTGCCAGCCCTACGCCTCCTGCCGCCAGTCCAGCCATGTCGAGATTGGAACAAATGAAAGCTAGAGTGGCAGCAGCGACCAGTCGCGCCAACGCTGCTCCTCCGCAACGACCCGCCCCTACGCCGACGCCTCAACCTCCCCCATTCGAAGATGAAGACGATGGCTCGTCGCGAGCTCGAGGTGGTCTGGATGTTGGTCTTCACCCCGCTTTGCTCTCCGATACACTCGAGTTCCGGGGTGCGAAAGGACGGCAGACTTCCCAAAACAAGAGCCGACGTACAGAATCACCAGCTACCGCGGGGAGGCCAGATCGAGCCGGACTTGATCTATCGGGGCCGTCTATAGAGGAAATCAAGAACAACCCATACTTTGATCCAAACCTTGGTCCGAAAGCAACAGTAGCGAAGCCCCGACAAACGCGGCAGCTCATTTTCAACCAGAAGGGCAAATACATACAGCAGGCCGCCGCTCTCCGTCGGCAGGCTCAGTTGGAAGCTATGAAGAAGCGGATTGCGGAAAGAGCACGGCAGGCGGGTATCGATGAAGACTTGGATGTCGAGAAGGCTTTCCTCGTGCCAGCCCCTCCCGCAATTGAATGGTGGGACGAAGGTCTGGTGAACGGCGAGGACTATTCTGGCATTGAAAATGAACAAAATCTCAAAATCGACACGCCTGACTCGATCATCACGCAATACGTACAACACCCAGTTCTTCTCGATCCTCCGCAGGAAAAGCTACTACCAGCACAGAAGCCTATGTATCTCACGCCAAAGGAACAGGCCAAGATCCGTCGCCAGCGCCGCATGGCAGATCTGAAGGAACAACAAGCGAAGATCCGACTGGGTCTCGAGCCAGCACCTCCACCAAAGGTCAAGAAATCGAACCTGATGCGAGTCTTGGGTGAACAGGCTGTCAAGGATCCCACGGCCGTGGAAGCACGCGTGAACCGGGAAATCGCAGAACGTCGTGAGAAACACGAGACTGCGAACGCGGAGCGCAAACTTACTAAAGAAGAACGTCGAGAGAAGCTTGCCCGGCAACAGGAGGCCGATGCGGAGAAGGGTATTCAAATGACCGTGTATCGAATCGACAGCCTCGCCAACGGGCGAAACCGCTTCAAGATTAGCAAGAATGCCGAACAGAACGCTCTCACAGGAGTATGCGTCATGCACCCTCGCTTCAACCTCGTGATTGTCGAGGGAGGCTCCCACTCAATCAACAACTACAGAAAGCTCATGATGAACCGGATTGACTGGACCGAGAACGCTGGCCCGAACGCGGTGCGCGAGGGCAACCGCGAGGCCCAAGCCGCCTGGCTAGCAGCTGAAGACGAGCAAACCGGGGAATTGAAAGACCTTAGTCACAATACCTGCGAACTTGTCTGGGAAGGTCAGGTCAAGACCCGCGCGTTCCGAAAATGGCTGGGTGCGCGAGTGTGTGAAACGGATTCCCAAGCTAAGGATGTCTTGGCCCGCGCGAAGCTGGAGAATTTCTGGGTATTGGCGAAGAGTGCCAAACAGAACGAGTCGTGAGCTCGATTACACATGACATGGCATGGCATAGCATTATCAAGCTTTCTAATTACAATTTACTCTTCTGTATCATAAACAAACTCAGAAAGATTTCCCGCACATTATATCCAGAGACATTAGTATCGTATGTCAGTACACTGTACGCCGTACATCGTACCATGATAATATTGGAAGTTCTAAAGAAGCGTGAAGTGATAGTGCAGAATGAGATATGACTTTTTTGATTACCCATCCGGAACCGAATCAAGAAAAGAACGATGCCCAGTTAGTAGCTCCAAAAATGCAACCGAACCCGGATAACTAAACAAAGGAAAGAGAAGAATAGCCAGGACCCATTTCCAAAAGGGAACGCGTATAGCAATATATAGATCAATCAATCATATCATCACAAATCACGAACGGGGAGGTCCCTGGTTCTGGTTCTGGTTATTACTTAATTGCCGCAGAAGATCCAATTGTGCTTTCACTTGATCGAAGTTCATCGTCGGTTGTTGGGGTTGGGGTTGGGGTTGTCCCGGTACTTGTTGCTGCTGCTGCTGCTGTTGTTGCTGTTGCTGAAGGGCAGCCAGGAACAAGGGGTTGATGTGCATGTTACCAGGAAGCTGCTGGTACGGGTTTGGTTGTTGATAGGCCTGTTGGAAAGGCATCTGGAAATTGAAAGGTGCTGTTGGCATGGCACCTTGTCCGTACGCCTGAGGTTGTTGCGGCTGGAAGGCTCCGAAGGGAGGGAATTGCTGAGGGAGAGCGTACGCGCCTTGTGGGTTTGTGGGGTACGCTGCTTGAGGGTAGGCGTGGGGTTGAGGTTGAGGTTGAGACTGATGAGAGGCCTGCGCTTGGGGTTGGTAGTATGATTGTTGACGATCTTGGTGGTGAGGAGCCGACTCGTGGGAGGGACGACCACCGCGGCCACCACCACCGCGACCTCCACGATCATATCCTCGGCCACGACCACGGCCACCGCCGCGGAAGCCGGAGTTGTTTCTGCTGGGGCCGGAGTGGCCGTCGGCTTCAACGGGGGCTTCTTGCTGGCGCATCATCTCGTGCAGGTTCTTCGGCCGGGCCAGCGGAGTGTAGCCGTCGTCAACGGGGTTGTCGTCGTAGTTCAGTTCGCTTTGGCCGAGCTTGGAGGGTCCTGGGGGGTTCCTTCTGCCTCTTGCTGGGCCATTTTCGTTCCGAGAGTCCTTCTTTTCCTGGCGTTTTTGCTTGAGCTTGCGCTTGTACTCTGCCTCGGCTTCGTCGTCGGAGAATTCGACTTCGTCCTCGGCGATCTCTTCATCGTGGAAGTTGGAGGCATCGCTTCCCTTCAGGCCCTTGAGGGGTTGAGTGAAGACGAAGGTGGAGTGTTCGTCGACATAGTAGACATGCGTGCCCTTGGACAGGCCACGCTCGGTGATGGCGGCCGCGGTCGGGTACCGAACGGCATACAGAGGGTTCTCGACCCTTCCGAGAGTCTCGGAGACTACACCGGCGACACTGCGGTTCTCCAGACAGAGTAGCGAGCCGGCTTCGAGCACTTGGTATTCGCCGCTGGTGTTGGCAGTAATAAGGAGTGTGTTCTCGACAATCGCCTCCACCTGACCCAGATGCACAATTTTCATCTCGGGTGTAATGGTAACCTCAGGGATAGGAGGTGCTTCTTCGGGCATCTCGTTCGCTGTTCTCAGATGGCCGCCGGTTTTGCCTTTTCCATCGCCTTCGTCGTCAGAGCCAAGTTCGGCCTGCATCAGTATCCGTGCTTGTTCTTCGGGGCTCAGGATGGGGTAGTCTTCGTCGTCGTCGCTGTCATCGGAAGAGTCTGTGGAGGAGTCGTCGGATGAGGATTCGTAGGGCGAGGAATCGATTTCCCACTCGGGGTGCTCGTCGTCTTCTTCTTCTTCTTCATGAGCAGCTTCTGCACCATTTGTGGCAGGTGCCTCCGCTGGTTGTTGAATCTCCTGCTTCTCATTGGCATCCACATCCATAGCATCGGAAGCGGGCTCCGCCTTGGTTTCCTCCAACTTCTCGGTCTCAGCCTGTTCGGGAGCAGACTGGCTGGTAGGTACAGCATCGCTCTGCTCGCTGGCCGCATTTGTGGTCGTCTGTGGTTGCTGCAGATCTTTGACGTTGTCATTGACCAGGTTCAAACCCGGAATGGGGGGATGGAATTGTGAAGCGGCATCCGGCTCACTGGTCGGATTCTGAGCGTCATCAACCTGGTCCTTGACAGCGCTACTGTCCGCAGGTGTCCCGACAGCCAAGGGAGTATTGTAGAAATCGCTTCCATCGTCCGCTGGCGTCAAGGCAATGGGTGGCGTATCGATGGTGCAGGGTCTCTTGACAGGAGGACCCTCATTGGGGACTTCTGAAGAGCCCAGAGGCTGAGCAGGAGACTGTTTATCACTCATCTTGAAATCTCCAAGGACCACGAAGGACAGTCACCCCAAAAACAAGCGAAAAAGGTGGAATGGAGGAGTGATGAAACTGCGACGGGAACTTTTTTTCGTTCTGGAGAAGCGGGTTGCCGTGGTGCCGCTTATCGATAAGCGGCGCTGCTCGCTTCTTCCGCCTCGCGGGACTCATTCCGGACTCTCTTTCCGACCGCGTTAATTCGACGGCGTCAAGCACAAGTGCGACAATAGGAGGATTCATCATCCGTGGATCATTCCTAGAAGCTATAATGGCACCTGCTCGGAGGACAGGCGAGGCCCCTTCAGGACCGCAGGGGCCAACGCCTACTCCGCGCACCAAACAACGGTATGAGTATTCCTCCAGCTGGCATCTTCCATCCGCAACTGCTAATAAGTCATGCTATTCTAAAGGCCGCCGCCGCCGCCATTTTACCTACCATTGAACATCGCACTCTACCTTTGCATTATCACCAATGTGATTTCAGCCCTCTACGCACCGATACAGGATTGTGACGAAGTCTTTAACTTCTGGGAACCAACGCATTATCTCAACCATGGATACGGGCTTCAGACGTGGGAGTACTCCCCGGTGTATTCGATCCGAAGCTGGCTGTATGTCTCTACACATGCCCTGGTGGGCAAAATCGGATCGTTTGCTCTAAGCAGCAAGTCTGCAGAATTCTATGCGATCAGATGCTTCCTTGCGCTGGTGTGCGCTGCTTGCGAGACCCGTCTCTACTCCGCCATCTGTCGTACCTTGAGCCCCCGTATTGGCCTTCTCTTCCTCATGGTCGTCGCATTCACCCCGGGCATGTTCCATGCGTCAACCGCCTTCCTACCATCTAGCTTCACCATGTATATGTCGATGCTGGGCCTGACGGCGTTCTTGGATTGGCGAGGTGGCCAGAAAACGGCGCAGGGAATCATGTGGTTTGGGCTTGGGGCGATTGTCGGCTGGCCGTTTGCTGGGGCTCTCATGCTTCCTCTTCTACTGGAGGAGGTTGTCATCGGCTTGTTGTCGTCAAACGTGAGAGGAATGTTCCTAAGCGTTCTGGATGGCGCGATGAGGTGTCTTGTAATTCTGGTATGACTTCCTGCATGGTCTCCCCATCTTGCGTTTTAGCTAAGTTCTCCCAGGCTCTTGAAACTGCTGTAGACTACGCTTTCCTGCGTAAACTTGTTATTGTACCCTGGAACATCGTTGCGTACAACGTTTTTGGCGGAGAGGGTAGAGGTCCCGATATCTTCGGGGTTGAGCCTTGGACCTTCTACATCCGGAACTTGCTGCTCAACTTCAACATCTGGTTTGCGTTCGCTATGGCCGCTGCGCCGCTGCTTGCCCTTCAGGCGCTTTTCCGCCCCAAGGCGACTAGTGTGCAGACCTTGCTCAGAACCGTGACACTTATCACCCCGTTCTACATGTGGTTCGCCATTTTCACAGCTCAGCCACATAAGGAAGAGCGGTTCATGTTCCCAGCATATCCATTCCTCGCGCTCAATGCGTCCATCGCCTTCCACATGATTCTGTCGTTCGTTGGCTCCAGTAACCCCAATGTGTCAGCTGGGAGTATGTTACCGAAGATCAAGCTGGCAGTGATCATGTCAATAATCCTAATGGCCCTCAATTCTGGTCTCCTGCGGATTGTCGGGATCATGAGCGCTTACAATGCTCCGCTGAAGGTATTCGAACCGTTGGCACAGCCCGGAGTCGCCCAGCCAGGCGATACGGTGTGTTTTGGCAAAGAGTGGTACCGGTTTCCCTCGTCCTTCTTCCTCCCCAGCGACCTGCGGGCCAAATTTGTTCGCAGCGAATTCCGGGGACTGCTTCCGGGTGAGTTTCCCGAGGCTGCGGACTTCTCTGCGCTCTTTGAAGGGACGTCGCGGATTCCCACGGGCATGAACGATCGCAATGAAGAAGATCTCGGAAAATACGTAAGTTCTCGGTCTTTCCTTCCTCCCCCTCTCTCTCGCATGCTTATCTTTGGCTTAGACCGACCTCTCGCAATGTTCCTTCCTGGTAGACTCGGAGTTCCCGAGCCGGAAGGCAACCGAGCTGGAGCCAGATTACATCCACGAGGACACGCAGTGGGAGCAGCTGGCGTGTCATAGCTTCCTGGACGCATCCCAGACGGGTCTTCTGGGGCGGCTGATCTGGACTCCGGATTTGCCAATCACCCCAGAGCCTCTTCGGCGGAAATGGGGCGAGTACTGTCTGCTGCGGAGACGCAGCGACGTCACAGTAAACGCTGCATAGATTGGCTATGGAAACGTGGGGTTTCAAGCTACTGTACATAGATTTCTCCCCCGGTTACCCTTGTTCGTATGGTGGATGCGCGCCTGCAGAAGAGAAGTCATGCTGCAGCCAACGCTCGAATGATCCTGGCTGGCGGTGTGGTGGCCTTGCCGGATCGGGGAAAGATATCCTCGGATGATAAGAGAGTTTGCAGTTAATGCAGCGTCAATCAATCCCGCTGGCTGTTATCTCAAACCCACAGCTTCTGGCTGGGGTTCATTCTCGCATCGCATTAACCCTTCTGGTAACCCACTCAGCGCCCTTCTTCATTGGTGCGCTTGCACCTTGCGCATCATCTGCATAGCTAGTTCCATCCTCTCTCTTACTTAATATCATATCCCCCCGGCATCCCGGGACTATCTCCGCCATGGTGGTAGCACAGACCTGCTTCCGACCACCGTGAACAACCATTTTCAGTCATCATGTTTCCCGAATCGCTTAAGTTTGGCCAATCTCCCATCTACGATATTGCCCTGATCAGTGCAGTAACCAGTATTGGCGTCTGGCTCATCACCCGAGCGTTCCACTGGTGGACGACAACATCCAAGCCAGACGTCCCCCGATCATCCACCCCAGATCTCGAGAAGAAGTCGGTCGCAGTTACCAGGAAACCGGGAGGTGAGCTACCTTCAGCAATCTCCCATAGACAGGTCCATGTAACTGATGCCAGTAATGTAGAATGGATCCCGTCGGACTTCAAACGGCCTCCAGCATCACCGTATCCCGACTGGGATGTACACACGACCAAGCCCATTCCCTATCGACCATTTCGATATGGACCGTAAGTGATCCACCAAGTGCACACCTACAACTGGTCAGTGATCTGACCATCCACAGCAAGTACTTCGTCACGATGGGCCTGCGCAGCATGAAATGGGACGAATGGATTGGTGAGAATCCATCCCCAATCCCACATCCTGCACCTTCACATACTAACCATCTCAGTAGAACTCGACAACCACTACCTCAAATACCACGCCGACAAGGCCCGTCGCATCGCAGAACGCGGCGACAAATGCTGCAAAACCGCCCCGGAAGCCTGGGACGCAGCCATCGAGCTCCTCGAAGAGCTAACCTCCTACCTCCCCGAACGCTACCCAACCATGTTTCAAAGAACCCCAACAGGCCTAACAAACCTCATCACCCACGAAACCTTCAACATAACCCAGCGTCCCCTCCCCGAAGACCCCATGACCATCGCCGCGCGCCTCATCCAAGATGACCTCGCCATCATGATCGAACGACCCGACGGCGAATACTACCTCCTAGCGGGCTCCATCCTCCTCGCCGGATTCTGGCGCCTCTCCGACAAATACGGCATGCGACTCTCCGAAATCCACACCTCGGGCTCCGTCCCCCAATACACCGAGAAACTCGAAAAGGGAATGATGAATTTCTTCCGGCGCTTGAAACCCGAAGACCCTGTTCTCCGGAACAACTACTTCATCCAAGTCGATGACAGCTTGCCCTGGTCGCATAGTATCGGGTCCGAGGACGCGGAGGACGTATCGTGGAGCACGGCGCAGAAGGACAAGGCCATTGAGAATCACTGGTTCCGGTCTGAGAGGCAGAGTCTAAGACGGTTGCCGAGGTCGGGAGGCGTGGTGTTTACGATTAGGACGTATTTTGAACCCATCACGGAGATCGTGGAGGAGGAGTATGTTCCGGGGAGGTTGGCTTCTGCGGTAAGGAGTTGGGGGGATGATGTCGCGGTTTATAAGGGAAGGGAAAGGTATGGGGATGTGTTGTTGGAGTTTTTGGATAGGAAGCATCAGGAACAGCTGGATAGGGGGTTGAGGGTTGAGTTGGAGGATGAGGTGAGGAAGTATCCTCTTTGAAGGTTGATTGCTGTCTGTATTTTTTGGTTCTTGTCGAATTCCTTGATATAACTTACTATCCCATGAGAACATGAACATTTATTCAATCTTCACTAGCATCGTCTCTAAGACTGTTTATGTTAAGTAGTTATACGTAGTAGTAGTAGTAGTAGTAGTATATAATACTAAGCACCAACTCCATCCCTCTCTTCTATTCCCCTATCCATAACGCCAATCAAACAACCAACACCCCTAAAGATCACACACACACACATATAGTACTTAGTATATACTAATCAAACACCAACCTCCACACCCCCCTCAACCTTACTCTTCCTCCCCATCCTCCTATTCGCAAACAACCACTCCCTCTCCCTCCTCCACTCACAGTCATCCCTAAAATCACAGATCCGACACTTCCACGCCTCCATAACCTCCACACCGCGCGGATCCCTCTCCCCGCGCCACCAATGCATCTGATCCGCCACATACGACGACATGGACGTCGGATCGAACAGGAACGACCTACTCCCGAGCACCCGGGGCGGTTGGAGGTCTGCACTTGGCTTCGAGGAGATATATCGTGCCGTAAGTAGTGGAGAGAGAATGGTGGGGTAGGGGTCTAGACTGCGGGGTTGGAATTCGGAGGGGATGGAGGGGGATGCTGCTGGCGGGGAGGGGAGGAAGGTGAGCCGGAGGTGGGATTTCATGAGGGTCCAGAGAGTGGTGAGGGTGTTGTGGGTGGAGAGGATGGTGGTGGAGTCTTGGCTGGAGAATTGGGAGGAGTGTGAGTCGGGTTGAGATTGGGAAGAGTGGAGATGACGCTGAGGATGCTCGATGGCGTCTTGTGGGGTGGGGATATAGTCGGGGTCGAATTCTTGGGATGACATGGCGTCGAAGAATTGGTCGTTCAAACCGCCGACTTCGTTGATGAAGGCGTCGGTGAAAGGGCGGTTGGGGTCCAGGTTGTATCGCGAGGCGAGGAGGTCGATGGTTACGTCGTCGCTGAGGACGAGGCGGTTGAGCATGTGGTAGTAGAGTTGGAGTTGGAGAAGAGTAGGTCGGAATGAGGAGCTCTTGACGGTTGGGACGGAGCCGCTGCCGCGTGTTTTGACATCGGTGAGGTAGATCCGTGGCTGGTGAGGGAAGTTATCGGTTTCCTGGCTGCTGCTGGTGGCCATGTTCAGGTCCATGTCCATATCGAAGCCATCTGCCTTCGCGGGTGTATCATCTTGCCCATACACCTCCGACAGAAGCCTCCCGCCCCCCGTCGGGGAGAGCAAGTAATCCGACAACGACATCTGATACTCAGGCAAGATAGCCCTCGACGCCTCAACATCAGCATAATACGTCGCAGCGGTGGCCTCCAGGTCCGGGTCAGGACAATCATAAGAAAGCTGATCAATCACGCCCGTAACCAGCTCGCCATCCACCAATCCCCAGACCTCCAACTCCCGAGTAATCCCAAACTCCCGCAGCATGCGCAGACCCTGGATGATATTCCAAATCCTCAAGGCCAGCGCATCCTCCTTAGTAGTGATATCCACGGGAACCGTGGTGTAGATTTCATCCTCAAGCGTTTTATGGATTTTACTTCCCAGCTTCATCGCCGCTGTCCTCGGCTTGCGCCCAAACTTGGTCAGCGTATACCAATACTGTAGCTCACACCACGCCGGCGAGATCAGATCCGTGACTGAAAAGGCTTTCATCGGAGGCCGTCGAAATCGTTCCACAGGTGACCTGGTATCCACCTCAGCATTTTCATTATTATTATTGTTGCTGCTGTTGTTATTCTCCCTCTCTATCCGTTCCTGATGACGAGCTGCCTCGCGTTCGCGATCTCTTTCGCGCCCTTCTGTCGAATTTGGATGCTCAACTAAACGCTTCGAGGGAAGTTCCACCGTCAGCCACCCTGCCCCGATCTCCTCAACCACGAACAAAACAATAAACATGAATAAGAGATAAGGGGAAACTACTAACCAGACGCGGCACGACTGTAGTAGCCTGGAATCGCCGCTGATCTTGCGCCAGCGCTGCCGCCGCCGCCACCAGGCCGATTCGTCCAATTCCGCTGCGGCCATGTAGGCTTCTCGCGCCCCAGGACCTTAGGTACCCGGCTGCTTGAGGGATCCGCATATTGGTCTTCGATGTCTCGAATGACAGGTGCGACCTGAGAAGGAGGTGGATCTGCGTTTGCTTTTTCTTCTGCTGGGGGAGTCGCGTGGCGATCTGGGGCGATCTTGGCGAGCAGGTCGGTCAGCAGCGCGTCTTCTTCCGGGGAGAAATCGGAGCCGTAATCTGTAGTACTACTGCTGTCGTCGCTGTCATTGAAGGCGCCGGGAATTACAGGAGATGCTGCTGGTGGAGGGCAGGACATGCCTGCAATGCGAAGGAGGGAATCATGCCGCGTGTGGTGGAAGATGGTGGCATTGAGAAGGAAGAGTCGCGACGAAATCCAAAGTTCGGGTCTGGGCGCTCGGATCCTCTCACGTCATATGATGATCAGGCCATAAATTGAATTATTATTATGTATTCTTGCTTCTCTTAGTGTTATTGTCATATCTCAGTTTTTCAAGATGGGATCTCTGCTAATGATCTCTATTCAATTCTAACTATGTACTGCTTGCTCACTCTTCTAAACAAGTTGCCGGCTAATCCATAACCGAGGGAGTCTATATTTCTATCAAACCAAAACCGCCAATACATCGCAGGGATATCAAGAGTCGAAATGAATCACACAAAAGGAAAATAAAGAATGAATGGCAATTATGCCTTCATAGCCACCGCACCAACACCAGCAGCCACCTCCACCGACGCCGTCCTCTCTGCCTCGACCTTGCGCGCCGCCTTCTGATTCAACCAACTCAAATACGTCTGCCACCCCACAGCAATGACACCGGAAAAGATGCTCCGGAACTGAGGCCCCACATACATGAAGCTGAAGGCCGTAACGGCCGGCCACAGCTTCACACTATTCGAAATACTCGTCGGCAGAGCGACCTTGAGCCGCTCAAAGGTCTCCTCCAACGACTTGCCCGTCATCAACGACTGCAGACCGAAGAAATAGGTATTGAACACGGGAGTAAACACCGCCTGCTGCACGCAGACCTTGGTCAGGATGGAGAGGAACTTGGACGAGTAGTTGAAGTTGTGGTGCAGGAACATGAACCTAATTCCGTTTCTGAATTAGCCATCACATCGAGAATCTATCTCTCACCATGCACTGCAACACTCACCATTTATACGTCGGAATCGCACTTCCCACTCCCACCGTCAAATGCCGCACCGTCCGCCACGGATCATACCCTCCTCCAACTACTCCTCCACCGTTGCTCCCTGCTTCTTCTTTCTGATCTCCCGTCTGCTCCTCCCGGGATGAACCATTATCCGGCGGAAACAACAACTGCGCACCCAGATCACCACACAGATACACCACAATCGTACTGATCACTTGCGTCCGGTAGGGTCGTCTCTCCTGCACGCGCGCATACGCTCGCGCCACTCGTCCAACCGGGCCAGCCTGGATTCTCTGGATGAATGCTCGCGACGCGGATACCGATCCGGGGGCGGTGGCGGCGGTGGTCGATGCGACCGGGCCAGGCACTGTGGGAGCCGGCTGTGGGTTGTTCGCTGGAGGGTGGGGTTTCTCAGGGACGGAGTTGTGGTGAGGTTCTGCGTTGCGGGGGGTCGAGGAGAGGTTTCTTCGTGGTGGCTGGCGTCGGAGGGACCGGAGTGGTTGTATTCGGCGGATGAGGGTGTGGTGGTTGTTCATTTTGGTGGGTGTTGATGTCGCTAGGGAGGGGGTAATAATGTATATATAGTGTTGCGATATCGGCGGAAACGTCTAAAAGGAAGGAATTGTTTGGAGAAGTTGGGGTTGCGAAGAAAAGGCGAGTTGTGGATTGTCCTGCTGACGGACTTGCCCCCAGGGAGAATAAGTTAATGACTCGACAGGCGCAAGGCGATAAGTAAATAGTTAGTCCGGAAGCAGAACAGCCACGTCTTTGCTGCGTTAGCCACCAGCCAGCGAGAAGCCCGATGAGATGTATCACTTATAAAATAAATTCAGGCAGACATAAAAAATAATAGGAAGAAGTAACAGATTGGCGAAGTAGTCTAAAACTGCCCTGGAGGAAAAAAAGTTTCAAAGGCTATCAGCGTCGGCAGCGCATAAGCCCGCGGTAGCCGAGGATCGGGGAGAGATTATCTCCCTCCGATCGGTCGGAGATAGCGATCGTCCCGGAGTCACTTATCCGGGGAGGCTTAACTTTTGTTGACTACTAGTTGCTGACAGGCTTATAATAGAACAATAGCAGAGTCGTAGTATATAGAGTACATATTGCAATTATCTCATTATATCACTGGTAGGGCTGTTTGGCCCGTATGCGTTCAATAAAAAATCACCGCCATCTATCATGCTAATGCGAACTGAAATGCCAAAGCAAACATCAAACTGGGTATATCACCATGCAAGTCATCTAACAATTCACAGACTTTTTCTTCTTGCCATCATTCGCATCTCGTGTTGACAATCCACAAACATATGGAACTGTCGGGGGTGTAGGTGTGGAGGAGGGTGTAATAATAAGTACTAAAGATTATTCACAAGGTCGGTAGTAAATGTATAAATGAGTCGGGTCCTGCAGGTGGAGACTAGACTCATTGCTTGAATGACTCGCGGGTGTGCACCCGGTCGATATCAAAGGGGTTGCCCTCGTAGAGCGACTGCTTCGCCGTCCGAACCGAAGCCTTGCTCTGAGTGCGACGGGCCTCAGGCATGTGTGCTTCGGTGCTAGAGTCGGAGTCGTCAGCCTCTACCCCAGGAGCAGGAGCCTCAGTACGGTCGAATTTCTCTTCCGCCATAACTTCCTCCTCCGGATCGGGCTTCTTCGCGAGCTGCTCCAGCATCTTGCGCATGAAGGCGTCGGACTCGGCGGCGTACTTGCAACGAGTGCGGATAGCAGGGCCGTACTTGTAGAAGAGGAAGGGGAACGGCACACAGGCAAGGGCCAGAAAAGCCGGGACACAGGTGGCCCAGTGGATACCGAGGTTCTCGTACATGTAGGTGGTGAATAGGGGGAACACAGCACCGAAAATAGACCGCATGACAGAGTTGGCCGCCAGGACAGACGCGGCAAAGATCGTGTACGTGTCAATCAGGTATGACAGGTTGCTCAGGAACACCAAAACCAGACCAAACCCGAATGGAGCACCGGCAGCGATACTGGCCATCCAGTGAACGGACGGAGCGTCAGTCCATGCGAACCAGAAGAGACCGATAGGGACAGCAATAGAGGCCACCATGCAGGGGGGTAGACGGGCCTCCGGGGGCGCAAAACCACCGTGCGCCTCCTGTGCCCGGACATAGCGCTTGTTATCCCAGATGTTGTAGGCGACAGCAGCAAGCATGCCAACCATGATACCCAAGAAAGGCAGACTGCCAACTCCCTGGTTCCAGCCACGGTACTCCTGGAAGACAATGGGGTAGGCGTCAAACAACATGTACAGGGTACCGTAGACAATGGCAATGTAAAGAGACAGCAGGAACACAATTGGCTCACGGAACAACAAGATCCAAGGACGGGACAGGGCGGTTTTGAATGCTTGTTTGATTGTCGTTTTGCCCTGGTCAATGTCCAGCTTGCTCCGGTACACCTTACCAGTGAGCTTGCTCAGTCTCTCGGCGCGGCGACGAAGAAGCACTGGCGCATAAGTCTCAGGAACGGTGAGAGAACCAATAATCCAGACGAATCCGGAGAAGGCACCGAGAAAGCCCATCACCCATCTCCATCCCGCATTCATTCCCAGGAATCCGCCAATGATGGGGCCAAGAACGGGACCTATAATGCTTATGTTAGCTGCGGGCGATGAGAGCTGAGAGATCAGGAATGGAGCCTACCGAGGAAAGGCGCCGCAGCGAACAGACTCGTGGCAATACCACGGTCCTTGGCAGCAAACATATCGGCAATAACACCACCTGCATTGGTCATGGGAGACGACCCAAAGGAACCAGCGAAGAAGCGGAGAATGATCATGGTCCATGTGTTTTGCGAGCCGGCACTGCCTGCGCAGAAGGCAGTAAGAGCCATGTACGTAAAGAAGTAGATGATTTGCCGGCCAAACATCTCACTAAGAGGGGCCCATAGCAAGGGGCCTATTTACTTGTTAGCTGTATGTGGAGGGCTGCACAGGTATATGAAAGACATACCAACTGCGAAACCGAGGACGAAGAGGGAAACACCGAGCGTTGCAACTTCTGTGCCAATCCCAAATTGTTCTTCAATCTCAGCGACACCACCAGTGTATCCGGACGAGACCAGGGCAACAGCCAGGGTTGCGAGGGCCATCACCATAGTGAAAGACCATTTCTTGGCCGCGCTGAATTGCATCGGATTGCGAGGATCATTAGGAAGCCATGTTACCGCATAGGGATCCTCATCCGTGCCAGAGCCAGGATACTGGTGGTCGATGATCTCCTGGGTTACCACACCCTGGTCGGTGAGTAGACGCCAGAACGGGATGGTGCGACTTTCAGGCGCCTCAATCACTGAGGGCCCGCTATCCCCCTTCTCGGTTGCCATATGGGAGGGCCGAAGTTTGCTTGCGATATGCGGGGGGATGAGTACGAGTGATGGTGAAATGGTTGCGGTGTTTAGTAAACAAGCGGGAGAGCCGAGGTGTAATTGGGCGTCGAGAAATATGTCGTAATAAGATGCTGGTCTGGATGTAGTAGGGGGATGATCTCAACGGCCGGAGACGTCAGATCAAGATAACCAGGCTGATCACTACCTTAAAACAAGGTTGCAAAAGTCTCCTCCGTAGGGGTTATCGAGGATGGACCCCTGGTTATATATACAAATCAAACGGGGTCCACGAAATTTCTGCTTCCTTCCCACCCCCATCGAGCGCCAAGCGGCGTCACTTACGACTAATCGTTTGCATTTAGCCTCGGGATCAGCACCGGTTTCAATCAGGGCGGACGGAGACGAGGTGCGCAAAAGGCCCTTCGACCCAGGGAAGCACAGCCCACCCGAGACGGAAAAGGGGCCATGCAGCCGATGTCTGAATATTAGTCCGGAGTTATGCACCGCATTAGCTCGAAATGGAGGCCATGTTGAAGGCCTTGAGATTGATCGGGCTCGGCTGAGGTGGACCGAATCAGCCCAGGCGGCTGAGGATCCATGGGCGAATCTGCGGACCTCGTGGCAGGAGGAGTCATTCGGGATAATTTCTTTCGCAATTTGTTTCTCAATTAGTCCAGGTCCGATAGTGGGGCGTCACCGGCGTTGGGTAGGAAGTTTCTCGAGCTGTCTTTTGTCGAGGGGCGAAACTTACCGAGGTCCAGAGAGATAAATGATATCGCGGAATACACCTTCTAGACTCCTTGTTGCCAGGCCACGTAACATAACAGTGCTTGCTGCGATGATAACTGATAGCTACGGGCTCATACTCGACTGTAGGTCAGATTGAGTTCCGGTAAAAATTGCCGAGCAAGAGTTGTTCGAAGTCGGACAGTGAGAGCCCATTGTTGGAGCTGCAATATGCCAATCACCAATATTAGTGGCGGTTGACTTCTGTCTTCTGTCTCTGTCTGTTCTCGCCGCCCACACAAACAAACAAAAAGTTGATCAGCAAAGATTTTATGCACAGTCGCATATTTGGCCTTTCTGTGGTTAGTGTGGCTTCTAGAAGGCAGATGATCCATGGATCACTAAGCCTGCTCGGGCCTAGTGGACCACTGCCTGCCTATATTGGAAGGCGGGCAAGTCCAGTTGGCGGAGGGATTCCGACGGCATAATTCCAGCGATGCAGCAGTCATCTGCACAGCGTCAACGCATCCGCTCGTTTGGGTGATATGTCCGACGTCGTCTGATCCCAGGGTCATTCGTGGACCGTGTGACTGCCTGGGTGTGTGACAGGCTAGGCACCAGCTTGTCTGCCTGTCAACATCAACTATTGTCCCCCTACCTATCGTAGTGCTGATATTGACTTCTGAGACAGGAGTCATAACACATATTTGCCAACATGGAGTTGACCGTTTCAATCCTGCATGGCTTTTTCATCGTTGTACATGGCATGGTTGACACAATTCACCGCATTATCTGAAGACTAAGTTCACATTGCTGATCACTCAATCAAGATTCATATCAAGAAGTCTGCCGAGGTTGCGATCTGTCGGTCATTCCGTTGACCCACTCCCTTAAGGTTTGCTTTGAGGAGCTGATGAATCTTCTCTCACGCAATGCGAGTCATTCAGTAATGATTACTAATACCAGGCTTAAATGGTGAAAGAGACCGATGAACTACGGAGAACAATAAACTCGAAGTCATGGGCCGTATGCACGAACCGCATCAGCCCCAAAGGCACCTGCATGTTGGTGATAAGAGTACGTGATATGGACAAATCCGCGACAGGTATCGGTGATATCGGGTTGCATTGATCGATATTTGATCCTCCATTCTCGTGCGATGGATTACGAGGTGGGACATGGCGACAATTTCGACAACAGGCTAAATCAGGCTCCGATCGCGCACATCGTGTGTGACTGTGATGTATCGTACTTCGGGCAGTCGCGCTTGCACTCTATTCAAGCCGTGGTCTTGTTGCTTTTTCAGGCAGCCTGGTCGCAGACGCGGTCTGTGCTCCGAATGAAACTCCGGCCCCGGTCTCTCTCTGTAGCATGTATCTACCTCGTACTTCTTTTGTTGGGCCTATTGTAGAAATTATCGGGTATCTGCATCGCTTGTTGGGCCAGCGGAGATGCAATATTCTGGGTAGCACGATGTCATTGGCTTTGAGAGATGAAGTTACTTTAGTTGTAGACGATCACTAGCCTAGCGCGATTTCAAGGTTTGGATTATCCGATTGCGTATCGGTCGTAGCCGGTGATATCCCGATACGGGGACTTTTCGTGCTGCTCAGTTGAAGAGTTTGATCGATCGGCTAAATTCAAGTCACCGCAATTTGACCATGAATCATGGCAACAATAATAATGTTGATCCCAATGGATATGTCGATCATCGAAATCAGATAGATTCCGTCTCCAAGGCTACTGATGAACAGTCATTCTAGTGTGAGCGGACGTTGGGGATTCTGGGAACATATTATATCAGAAGCTGACTCGGAGTCTCTGCATGTTCCGAAGACAGAAGTTATCGCGATATCGAAGTGCAGTGAACGTGCCGATTTACCTACAGATAGGCATAGTGTCTGAGTAACAATCAAGCAGCTAATTTGGCTCATTGCCAATGCAGAACAGAGAAACGCACCTTAGTTAGCAATGTGCCAGTATGTTCAAGATAATGTTGTGATTTTCCCCCACAAGTAAAACTCGTGGTCAGAATATCAATGTTGGTGATGCCGGATAAGCAGCGTGCCTTACGCAAGGGGAATATTACCCCGGTTCGGCACAACTCAGTATGTGCCCCATGTCAGGTTTCTCCGAGACCCTCTCGATGCCTTAGGCGATACTAATCAGTCAGGCTTAGTGACATCTATGTAGTTTTTCATTGTAGGGTAAATGAAACAATAATTAGTCTCTTTCTTATCGTTAGTAGTACTGTAGTGATCTGACGCCGGTTGTATATATCTTCGTGATGGGCCCGACGGCAACTGAGTATAACTAGTAGCAATTACAATTCATGATCAGCGCTACTATGTATTCATCTTTCACTGATCCTTAGGGAGGAGATGATGGTACTAGCAATTTCCTTCCCTATTGAAATTCAATTATCGCCAACATCCATTAACCCCTCTAGGAATTGCCATACATACATAAACACGCTACGTACTATCCGTGCTACCGCCAACCTGCCTATGATGCGGGTTAAGTCTGTCCCCGCCGCCCCGCCCGATATGCGTCCGAGCAAACGTCATGGTCTTTCATGCTGAACTACAACATAATACCTGCAGACTACTGATCATGATCCTAAAAGACGAAGGGAAGGATATGATAACAAAGGAAATCAGGGGACATTTTATGCCGCTGAGATGAGGAGTCTATCCTACTCCCTCTACGAAGGCACAGACACTGACCACTCACTTGACTGACAAGTTACTCTGATAACGACCGCGTCGACCACCAAGCATTCAGAACTCTCCAACAACTCGAATTCATCCAACACCATCATTCAAAACGATTTTAAACCTCAGCATTGCCCATATCATCACAATAGCCTCTCTCCCATGGTACCAAAACCAATCATACAGGATAGCCAGTCAACGAATCTGCAGATCAACGGGATGCTTGCGACCCGGCGGCCCGGGGTCAACCTACCTGTCCACTGGCCTTCCAATTATATTCTCCGATGATGATCACTGTTCGCCTGAAGCTTCAGCAAGCACATCATTGACCACTCGTATATGACCTTTTGCATATTATTCGCAAAGCTGCTGTTCAAGTTTGGCTATCGTTGCGCTGTATGGGAGGGATACTGGCGAGGTACCAATGTAGTGGTCATCGCTATTCGACAGGATTCGATAATTGTGGTGGCGAACTGGCGACTTTGGCCGCGAGGTGATTGCCTCAGCGTACAAGGAATCTTCGAGAGAATATCCCGGAGATTCTATCGAGAAAATATTGCCAATCATAGGGATTAATTCTTCTGCTCTATGGTCTGCGGGCTCGGACGTAGGGAAACGACACTTTGGTCTAGCAATGCAAAGACTACGGAGTCCTTTGTAGGGGATCCCATTATGAGAGATACGCGCATCGTAGATTCAACTGAAAAGAGGAACCCTACGTAGTTTCTGCAAGACAGCTGCACATACCCGTTATTATCCCTTGAACTATGAACCATCTCTCAGTCAGGGATCGTCATCCGCGGCGCGTAATGTAGGCCGCCTCCCACCCACTACCCATTCTACTTTCTACTTAGAATAGACACGAAACGTCCGTGTTGCGATAATACGTAAGGAACCAATTATCATCTAGATATATGAAGAATTATCCTTCTACCTAGTACACATAACTATCGCCATAATACGAGTCTTTTTTTTCTCTTTTTTTTTTTTTTTTTTTTTTTTTTTTTTTTTTTTCTTTCAGCTGCGATTTGCTGCTAGAACCACCCACTCGATACCCCCCTACCCCTAACCCAGAGACACCCGCTGACCCCCTTACTGTGGCGAACCGGTAAGTCGCAGGCAGATTCGGCTGTGAACCAAATAATGCCACAATCACCCGCTGCTCTTGCTGTCGTCATCCAATTTTGACTCGGTTTATTGCGAGTTAGCCATGGAAATTGATGGTCAAATATCAGTGATGGTTTTGTAACCTTCGTTTCCATTGTAACACTATGATAAGGAGTGTACGGAAACGGTGGTCAGAATCGAAGCATCGAACGCTGACGTTACATTGCTGGAAATATCACACGGTCGCAGGCTCAGACACTTATCATTATGTAGAAAAAACGCAAGCCCTGGCAGCATCACTAGTGCCTCCTGCTAGCTACTCAAGTAAATTTTCAAATCCATCAACCCTGCAGCGTAGATCTGCCGTAGTACTGTAGCCGACCGGGAGTAGTTAGTGTACGGCCACCCACAGCAGGCGGCACTAGGCTGCGACCGCGCCACTATGCTACGCGCCCTACAAGAGTACAACATCGCGATCTCAAACCGGGTTGGATTGTTTCATAGATACTGCATTTCGCGTCTATGCCATCCGGTGGCGCTCCCGAAGGAAGTCACGTCGAATAAAAGCTTTCTTTAATGTACATATTCGGATGCGTCCCCATGATCAATTCCACCCAGCCGCTGAATCGGCAGCTACTATTTATTGCGCAGCAAGAAATAACGAAAACCCAGTGCCGAAACCCATTGAAATTCGCAAACCCATCATGTATCGCCAGTAGTCATGAAAATTAAAGAAAAAGAAACCCCGTTATCGCCTTCCCAACCAGAAAAAAGAACCGACTCATTAGAAGTAAATCTAAGAGCGCTCACCACGGAGACGGCGGGCAAGCTGGATGTCCTTGGACTGGATGGTGACACGCTTGGCGTGGATGGCGCACAGGTTGGTGTCCTCAAAGAGGGAGACGAGGTAGGCCTCGACGGACTCCTGAAGAGCACCGATGGCGGAAGACTGGAAGCGGAGGTCCGACTTGAAGTCCTGAGCAATTTCACGAACAAGACGCTGGAAGGGCAGCTTGCGGATCAGGAGCTCAGTGCTCTTCTGGTAACGACGGATTTCACGCAGAGCGACGGTACCTTTGGTAGACTGTTAGTTGACTGTTCGACTAGGCACTTTTGCCACTTTGGGATGATGAGTGTATACATACCGGGCTTGTAGCGGTGAGGCTTCTTGACACCTCCGGTGGAGGGAGCGGCCTTACGGGCAGCCTTGGAGGCGAGCTGCTTACGGGGAGCCTTGCCACCAGTGGACTTACCTATAATGAGATGATAATTAGTTGTGGTGTTTCTCAAGTGAGACACGGGTGTCGCGGCCATGACGCGGTCAAGCGACACGAAGAGAAAGGACAGTGAGGTTGCACTTACGGGCAGTCTGCTTAGTGCGGGCCATCTTAGTAGATTAAGTTTGATGGATTTAGTTGTTTTAGAGATGGAAAGATGACGTTGAGGATGGAAGATTGATGAAGGTTGATAGATAAGGGTGGACGGGATGAGGAGATGGAAGAAGGATGGAGGAGGCGGGTGGGGAGAGGTATTTGTAGTAAGCGAAAGGGTGGGTGGTGATCTGGGTTTGCCAGCAAAGGGAGGGGGCCTTAGCGTGCCGTTCCTTTGATCGAAAAAGTGTTCGGAAAGCAGCACACCATAAGCCGTGATTTCGGGGCTCACTTTTCGCTGGGAAAATCAAAAGTGCCCAAAGGCGGTCAGTCCCCGTTCTGCCTGCTCGGAGCGCTAAGCGAGCGCCCTAGTGCCCGCCAGCCAATAGGAAGCCAGGATCACGGATCTAGAAGCTGCCCCTGCCTCTCCTTGATCCCAACCTCAGGCCCGGAATGTGATCCTATCAACCTGTTGGAGAGGCTCATGGCCATCGACAGGAATGTCTCTGACACTCTCTGACTGCTGATCTAGGTGGTTGGGAGCATTCCCGTGGGAATCAGTCTCATCCCAGCGGAATCATCCCTGCCCGGTCACGTTGCCGCCAGATCAGTCCGCTGGCCGGGATCCTGAGCTCTGATTGGTCGATCCGCCCTCTAGCGTGTGATTCCAACGCCCTCCCCGCGGCGCGCCTTCTGCTATACAAATATCTCCCGTCCCATGGATGCTCTCTGCCCTCTTCCTTTTACATCCATCTCACTCTAAAACGCTTAACTATCTCCACCGTCTTCACCCTCAACTCTAATTCAACTTTATTTCCGTTTACTTTTTAGACAACCTTCACAATGACTGGCCGTAAGTTCATCACTTCTCATCAGGGTCTATCTATCTCGATAGATCGTCCATGCTTGTCTACACCATCGACAGTGACTGACTTGACGCGTCTCTACAGGTGGAAAGGGTGGAAAGGGTCTCGGCAAGGGTGGCGCCAAGCGTCACCGCAAGATCTTGCGTGACAACATCCAGGGTATCACCAAGCCCGCTATCCGTCGTCTCGCTCGTCGTGGTGGTGTCAAGCGTATCTCTGCCATGATCTACGAGGAGACCCGTGGTGTCCTCAAGACCTTCCTTGAGGGTGTCATCCGTGACGCCGTCACCTACACTGAGCACGCCAAGCGCAAGACCGTCACCTCCCTTGACGTCGTCTACGCTCTTAAGAGACAGGGCCGTAAGTACTATCTGTTCTGGCTTGGTCATGTCCGACGTGTCTAACATACAATTTTTCAGGTACCCTCTACGGTTTCGGTGGTTAAACGCCTTTTCTATTTTCCTGCTTGTTTCTTTTTAGCCATCCTGCGCGGTCGGCGCGTCAGTTGTCCTTCCGCAGCAGTGACGCGACGGGTTGCTTTTTCGGGTTGGTTCATGGTATGACTGGGACGTTGGGGTGTTCTTGATCTTTTTATTACAAGTATCATGGGTCTGGGTTTGCTTTGTCGTATTTTATTTACTATTACACGCGTCCACTACTGGTCTGCTGGTGGTCGTGGTTGAATTTCTGTATCATAGCGGCCTTTTACGCTTCGGCTGGTGCCATAGGCTAAAGAGGATCGTGCGACCTTGACGCGATCCGATATGAATACGAACGGTCGAAAATGATCACATCTTTCCGTTGTATATTTGTAGCTTCCTCGTGGTATGAGCATCGTATTTTGTGTATGTTGAGGCTCGCGTGTCGTTCGTGTCGGGCAAGGCTGTCGTGTTGGCAATTGGAAAATTCAAATGATGTCCATCATATGAGAGCATCCATGATAGTTGGAATAGTAGTTTCCTTCCATAATCTACAGCACTTCAATCAATACCATTTTAACTTGTGCGAGTCGCTTGTTGTGTATGGTAGTCAACGCGCTACGCGTTCTCCGGTAGTTCCGCTATTGTCGTGTGCCTTAGGCATCCTGTGGTCATTATCCGTCTTCATCATCATCACGTCGAGATCAGCGATTTGATGGTAGCAAATGGCATTTTTGTTGTATCTAGGTCCTATGTCTGCTCGTACTCTTTGTTCGTATTGTTTCTAAGCATTGTGGATTATGTGGTCGTGGTGCTGTTGCTCGGTAGCTGTGATCTATAGGGTTATCATATCTCGGATACATACAGCTACCCTACCATTATATATAACCAACACATCATTTCACCAATATCAATCCATCAACACCACGTATAGTAGTCACACCAACACCACAAACTACATGACGAGCCATACAGAATAAATGACAAAGCTATGTAATACCCACCGGATCAGTAATAAGATAATTTCAGTATCACACAGGATCAATCAACGATAATCGACATTGCGGCATGATACCAGCAAATTGAGACCATCTACGGCATTTAGTGATAGATTCGTACGAAAATCAGCACCAATAGACATGCTACAGTAGTAAATGTAAGGTGATCCTAGCATATGACAAGAAAAATCACAGTATCAAGTCCAGCGCCTTGATCAAACCCTCTGATCTAGTACCTACATACAGTACATCAAGCTCCCTCACAAGTTGAACCCAGCTCTGGGTTGAACCCCCGAAAAACACCGAAACACCCCGAGCCCGGGGACCAACCCGCCCCGACCCGACCGACAGGGGGGTTCAACTGAAACCCGCAGCTCTTCATACTACAAACACCGGTTGATGGCCATCTGAATTCGTTGATGTTGCAACCAACACTCACTATTTTGTAATTTAAACACCAGGAAATTATTAACACACCTATGAATAATCTGTATAGATAGCAGATCAGAAACAAAACGCGCGTCGTTGCTCATGATCGGCCACTTTTATGGCACCGGTATCCAACCACCCATCCAGCTGCTGCCCCAGGCCAACAACATCCGCTTACCTGAACAGGAACCACGGTCACGGGGACAGACAGCGCGTCACGACACGTCTTGTTCGTGTTGGATTCCATTCTATGATCATTACGCGATGGACATGCCGCCGTGTGATATGCTACGAAGCAAGAAAATACATGCAGAATACTATGTTCAAGCAAATAAAATGGATATCTCCCAGACAATATGAATACTCATACGGACATAGCTCCAATGCTATAAAGACCGGAATGCAGTAGCTGCAAATGCTTACATGCGGGATAACTGCCACAGACATATTGCTACGCACCTCGCCGCCTTGCTGGCATCCCCAAGAGGATGGTTGAATACAAGGTGCTCAAACCAAAGACAACTGGCCCATGACTCTATAAGCCTTGAACCCACTAGAGACTAGCACCACGCGTGGTAGCAAGACAACGGTAGGATAGATACGAGGCCCAAGAAAGCTCTCTCTCCTCCACTCTTATACGAACTTAATGCAAATCCATCGTCGATGCTACTTCCTGGTGTCATGGCCCGGAACAAGCCATAGGCTGGCTGCACTCTTCTCCTAGCTAACCGGAAGCGGGCTCACTACCTCACGAGCAGCAGTCACGTCGAGGGACTGGCGACAGGGCGGCATACACTCCAAGGGCAAGCAGAGACATAAGGCACGGTTTATGCATACAGTGCTACTGCGTTCCAGGCCCCTGTTGCCTTGCCCCCCCGACAAGCAAGATAGCTGGATACGTAACCCGCTTCCCTACTCGATCGGCATAACCCAATTTCGAAGACACCCAAAGGCCACTCTACCTACGCCATGACGGACACCATGGCCGCGAGAATCTGGCGTACAACGGATGAGGCCACATACAATGGGTTATGGGGACTTTGTTTGGCAGGTGTCAAAGGATCTGCGAATGGACTGTGTGAAGACCCCAGGGGAATAATGCAGGATGACCACTCGACAACTCGCAGGCTCTGGTTGGATCCAACGAAGCAAAGGATTCACAGTTAACCCGGTGTGGCGAAGGGTATCTAAGGTGTCTTGCCCACCCCCAAAGTCTTGGAAAGAGCATAGGATCACCCAAGTACATAACACCCTGAAGATCAACACCGGGAAAAGTTCAGCAAGAGAAGCTCCACACCCAATCATTGACCCAGGGCTCCGGATCCTACAAACAGTCCACTAATATCCACTCAAATACCTGCAAATGGGATCATACTTTCAATGCCCGGATCAAACCATGTGGCTGGGGCTGATCGCTTGACCATCGGTGATATCGGCGTGAAAGCTTGGGACAGACAGGAATGATCGAATTCTACGTCACTGGTCCGTCCCTGTATAATCAACATCCTGGCGATAATGACCCGAGTATCCTGCCCTGGTGCTTTGCCCATACCTCAGTCTAGAGGATAGCCGGTTTCTGGTTCCGCCAATGAACCCGCGACCGTGTGTACGTTCCATACTTATGACTACATCGCATGACTGATGTTCAAAGTCTGAACTCAAGATCTATGCTACTGAGTAATGCTGATCAGCTACTCCTACATGCCAAAGACAGGTTTCTCATTCAAAGTTCACTTGACGGGCGTACGCAAGACAGCGTTCATCATGACGCAATAGGCGAACTAATATCACAGGGTACCTCGTACACCACCGCAGATTGCCCTAAGCCAAAGGAGTCCATGTATGAGACCGAAGTGCTGCAACCGGAGAAAACGTCATTCTCGGACTAGTAGCTACATCTCACCCTTTAGGACATCCATCGAATAGTTGTAACCCACCTCATGCAGCCGCAGCCACACCCACGACCTCCTGAGCCAACACTCCTATCGGCCGATTACTCAAGATATCAAACACAGCCACATCCTTCTGCAAGGCTTCCTTAAATCAACTCCGCAATTCCATCGCAACCAATGAGTCCACCCCGTACATATGCAACGGTTTCGTTGGAGCAATATCATCAGCGTTGATAGCAAGCACATCCGGAACCCTTTCGCAGATGGCCCGACTAACCGCGTCTGGACTGCCACCTGCCACAGTAGACGAAAGCGTATCATCGCTCGCAGCAATCGGGAGTTTCAGCGATGAGGGGCCCTTCTTATTCGGTCGTTGAGCAGCAACAACCTTACTCCCGCCAAGCGTTGGGTTCATGCGTCGCTGCAAATGATCCCACAATGGCCGCGAGTAAAATCGCGAGCGCACAAGTCCACTTCGCTGCATCTCATCTTGATCCATGATGCCAACGACTATTTGGGCGTCGCTAGGGTGACGGATTTCACGCTTGGAATCGCAGTAATATATTAGTATGGAAAGGAGATATTCTTCAGGGATGGGCTGTAAGCCCAGAGAGCGCATGAAAGAACCCACGCCCTCATGTTCGGCCGTGTATCCAACCCCTTCGACAATCCCCAGGTCGATCGAAACTGCCTTCTGTCTCATCGCGACTTTAGACACCTGGCCAGTGCATCTTGGTAGGCGCAGCCAAAAGCGTAGTTAGATTGACCGCTGGCGCCGCTGATACCGCATACGGACGACAAGAGGATGAAAAAGTCAAGCTGGGTTGACAGGTGGCGATCGAGATTGTACGAGCCTTGCACCTTCGAGCGGAGTGCTTCGTTCCATTGGTCGAGGGTCATATTCGCGAACATTGCAGACTGCAATAACAGATATGTTAGGTTGTAGTTCCTGCTTGGGGCAATTTATTTATGTGGTAATTTACCTTGAGAACCATAGATGCCTGGACGCATCCTTTGATGGGAGGCATCCGCCGCTGTACTTCCTGGAAGACTTCACTGACTGCTCTTTCATCACTGATATCGCACTTGAGTGCGAAAGTTGTCACGCTCATGGTCGCGCATTCGTCAAGGAAAGTCTCTGCCCCAGGGCTTCCTGTACATTGCCGACTGAGGAGAACGAGATATCGGGCCCCATTGGAAATCATCCATTTGGCTATGCTTCTTCCAAGACCACCCAAGCCCCCGGCAATGAGGTATGTCGATGTTGAGTCAAATAGTTGCGGCTTAGATGCGGCAAGGTTGTTCAAGTCGAAGGAAATACAAGCCTTGGCTGATCGAGTTTGCTCGACAGCCTTCACACCACCGGATTTCTCAAACTCAGAGAAGGTGAGTACTCTGACAGGCTGTACAGGAACCACTGATTTATGCTCTATCAGACGCATGACCTCAGGCAAGATAGTTGCAATTTTCTCTGCGTCGTGAAGAAGCGTCGGAATATCCAGTCGGGCAGACATGATGCTTCGATTGAACAGTCGAGGCCGGGGAGGTATAGCTCCGGAGGAAGTACGTGCATACTTGTCGACCACCTCAATAACTCGGCCATACTCTTTCAAGCAGACCCATGCTGTTTGATCTGATTCCTTCGCAATTAATGGGGTGAACATGACATCCGCGCCTCGACCGTGGGTTAGGCGTTTGATTCCCATCGTCAGCATAGGGCCTTGTTGTGGAAATCTGTGCGAAGCGGGAATAGAGTACATATCCGCTATAGCTTCCTAATCCTTAGTATTGGAAGTCACGAAAATCTCTGCACCCAGGAACTGAGCGAGTTGAATCGCGGCTTGACTGAGTGAACTAGCCCCGTCATGGATGATTATCGGATCCCCTGCCTGTAGCCGCGCGCAAATGTGCAGCGAGTCGTATGCTATCAGCAAGTCGAGTGGCAGAACAATTTCTCCCTTTTTGTACAATTCGTCGGGGATCTTATGGGCGAGACCAACCGGGCACTGAATCAGATCTTTGATTGATGCTGTGCCACAATGCGGTACGATAGCAGCAACGGGATCGCCAACCTGAAAGGTGCCTTGCACGTCTGACCCAATCTGGGTGATGGTGCCGTTCATCTCCTGGCCCAAAGAAGGTTGGCCAGTGGTAATTTTTGGTGTAACCGTAGCTGCGCGTATCTGGATATCAATTTCATTGTTCCCAAGGCTGCGCACATCGTTATCCATATGGGCCTTGGATTGCTGCATGCTCCAGATCTCTTTCGCTATTTTTTCTGCCGGCAAGACACGACTTAAGCACAGGCGGCCACTGATATCAAAGATCTCCTCGCCATTTATGCTCAGTAAGGAGGTGTCGACACAGAAATAGTGTTGCAACACTGCCCGGATATGCTGTGCTGGGCGGGAAGTCATTTCGAGATCTTCCAGTCCTAGGGTCACGATATTGAGGCCCTCGTTCTCTGACATAAGGGAGTGTGCAAGGCCAAGCACAGCGTCCTGCTCCAACGAATCTGGTTTTGGGCTATTGTGTCTCCGTGTCACCCAAAGCAGCTTATTGGCCATTGCCACAGTAGTCTATAAAATCTGGTACCCTTTCTCGTCAAGCTTCGTGGAAGACGAGGTCGTCAATGGTCTGCAACAAGACCATGGTAGTAGCTCCCTTGGGAACCTCGTGTAGTTCAGAAGCATCCATGATGCTGACAGGCAGTTCCGACTCTTGTAGTAAGTCGCGTATTGAGGTAGCTAAAAACTGCTGCAAAACCGAGCTCTCTCTCCTCAGGATGAGAATGTTCGACGATGTTGGCATGTCGCTGTTAGACCGAGGGAGAGGGCACGCAGTTGAGATTACCGCGCTACTCAATGAATTTGCCTTGTCTGGGCCGTCCAGAAGGAAATCCGCTCCGGTGAAATGGCTATCCTGGAGCAGCTTATCCCACCTGTCCAAAGGGACCAGTGGTCCCCACTCGCGATACGCCTCAGTTGATAGCCACCATCCCGGCAAGCAGCCGAAGATGAAAGAGGTCCTAAGTAGGTTGGAACTGGTACCCTCAACGAGTATAAGCTTCCCTCCGGGCTTCAAAAGCTGTCTGGTGTTCCCCAGAGTCAAGGCTAAGTCCTTGGTGGCATGTAAAACCTAGGCTGGTCAGCTCCAAATCCACCGTCCTGCAGAGTGCGAACTTACATTGCTGGCAATAACGAGATCAAAGGCCTCCTTTTTAAAGCCTTGATCTACAGGCATCTTCTCAATATCGAGGGTCTTCATCATGATCCGTTCCCCTCTACCAAATTTCTCTCTGGCGTCCTTAAAGAAGGCGGGAGAGATGTCTACAGCGTTTTCTCTGTTGTTTGTCATGCCCAGAGTCGAGGACCAGGGAATCGAGCCAGAGGATCCAGTCATAGTCGGTATGCCAATATTCCCATCATCGCTGCGGCCACCGCCACAACCTGCGGGACCCAGCCTGAAGAGATGAAGATGAGATCCATGCATTAGAGTAAGAAAAGGTAGCTCTGTATCAATGGATGTATTGATTCTCACTCGCCCCTCTTCTCCTTCCTCGAGATTCCTGCAATCTTCCCGGTCCCGGTCGTGTCAAATAGCAATAAGATAATGCACCGGCGGTAACAACCCTCTTCCTTCGAACCAAAAACCATCCGGGGGGCATCGGCTACCAACCATTTCACTCCAGTCAACATAGAAATAAGCAAATGTCTTCAGAAAGAAACATTCTGGGTTGACACGATTTGCAGCCATGTCATCAATTACCACCGAGTCACTATGACCGCTGCGATAGACCCGATTCAGGCCTCGGCTGCCTTTTCCAACCCCCAGAGTCGAGCACCAGACCCTGCCGACCTCAGCGCTCTATACATATTCCTGAGCAGGGAGAACCTTGCTTCATCATGTGGCCTCCCTGACTGACGTGTTGCATCTATTCGCTATCCATCGAGAGGATGTGCGAAATCTGCCCAATGCTGAAAACTATGTACGCCTGCTGATAGACTGGGCCAATGGGGGCCCCTCTGCCCCGGTCTTCGAAGCTCGCACGGGAATCATCGCCCTACCCTTGCTCCTGATTCCTCAGTTGGGGGAGTACCTTCGCTACCTGAACTTCCATGGTATCTCTCACGCCGACTTTATTGCCCAGATACAGAAAGGAGGAGGTATTCATGGCTGTTGTGCAGGAGAGCCGCCTGCTCTTTCCATAGCCTGCGCGAAGGATGAAGGGCAATTATGGACAATGCTGCGGTATTTCTGCGAATAATGAGTCAAACAGGCCAATGTAAGCCTTTTGATGCCGCAGCCGATGGATACTGTCGTTCTGAGGGCGCCGGATTGGTCGTTTTGAAGAAATTGTCTGATGCGGTCAGTGCTGGGGATCACATCTTTGGCGTTTTTCTAGCATTGCTACCAACCAAGGAGGAACTTCGACCACCCTCACGGTACCATCACCGACAGCACTAAAGGCCCTTTATAGAAGACTTTTTGAGAAGTCGGGTCTCAAGCCCTCTCAAGTCACCTACGTGGAGGCTCATGGAACAGGAACTCAGGCAGGAGACCCCATCGAAATGAAAAGCATTCGGGCAGTACTGGGAGACTCGTCACGAGCAACACCGTTGTCTATCGGCTCTATCAAGGGTAACATTGGGCACTGTGAGCCTGCTGCAGGTGTTGCTGGGCTTCTCAAGGTGTTGGCCATGTTGAAATTCGGTGGCATCCCCCCTCAGGCGAATCACAGTCGCCTGAACCCGGCAATTTCAGCACTGGAGCCGGATGGAATGGAGATCGCTCGAAAGCTCCGGAATTGGAATGTTCCTCAGCGCGCTGCTTTGGTGAATAGTTACGGTGCTGGAGGATCGAACTGCGCGCTGTTGTGCTGTGAGCCAGTACCCCGGGATGATGCACTAAGACGCAGCCAGTATTATCGTCACCAGCAAGGAACCGGAGGGTCGCATTTCCGATTATCCTGAGCACAGCTTCGAAAACAAGCCTCACCGAGCATTCTCGGGACCTGGCAACACATTTGTCAAGACACGCTTCCAAGGTGGACGTGGCCAGTGTTGCATTTACTTTGAATGAGCGGAGGAAACGCCACCGTTTCTGCTTCAGTGCTACCGCGACCGATGTGTCTGGATTGGTTCGCACCTTGAACCAGGTTGAAGCGCCAAGCTTTGAATACACGACAGCACAATGCGGTGGTTATGGTCTTGAGCGGGCAATATGATAACAAGGAATTCCAAGATGCAGCAAATAGTAATGGGTATATCGCCTACGAGTCCAATATTTTACCGTTGCGAAATCTTTTGGTGCAGGCCTATATCTTGGAAACCTTTGAGGCTATGGGGGTTCCCGTCCTGTCTTTGCCCTCAGGGACGGTTATTCACCCAATCAAGCATATACCCAAGCACAGCAAGCTCGTTGCTCGACTGTGGGAAAGTCTTCAGACCCATGGGGTTGTTTTCATACAGGCGAGCATAGTAGTTCGAGGTCGTGAAACCCCAGAATTTGGTTCTGCTGCGGAGGCGTCCTTTGTTTCCCGCTTTCCAGCCTATTTGCCGGAAGCAAAGTTGATTAAACTGACCGGAGAAAACCTGGCACCCATTCTCAAGGGCGAACAAGATCCTCAATCGCTGATGTTTGGAAGTTCAGCCTCATTCAAAGTTATGGAAGACTATTATGCCAACTCACCAATGGTATCCACATCTACGGATCAGCTCGTAACTCTAGTCATGATTGTGCTTCGCGGACACAACATGCATCATAAGAGCGATAAGCGGCTCCCTCGCATTCTGGAAGTTGGTGCAGGCACCGGGGGCACAACTCTGCGGCTGGCGCAGGCTATCGAGGCGGCGAGAATCCCGTGCCAATACACTTTGACCGATGTATTTGCACCGATTGTCTCCAAAGCGAAGGACAAACTCGTTGATTTCTCCTGGATCGACTACGACACAATTGATCTAGAAGAGAAAACGAGAGCCGAGCATCGCAATCGCTACGACATAGTCATCGGAACGAACTGTGTGCACGCAACCTCCAGCAGGGTTGAAACTTGCCGCAGGCTCAGGGACTACCTGACTGATGACGGGGTTATGATTCTTTCTGAAGGAATTCAACCGCTGGTGTGGTTTAACATTACTTTCGGCTTGCTTGATGAATGGTGGGTGGCCGAGAACGGGACCGAGTATTTTCTTCAGCCAGCGTCCAAGTGGATGGAGGTGCTTCAGGAAGCTGGGTTCTCTCGCACGAGCTTCACCCGAGGAGCGGGGAGCGAGACATCTCTGCAGCAATTACTTGTTGGAAGCAAAGTGCGAGGATAGGATCATTGAGTCCGGGCCCACTTCCAGAGCGCTATACTTTATCGGACAGCGGGTCCTGTCGCCTTGATCTTGTGCTCTCAGTATCAGACAATGGCACTGCCCTCCTATTGTTACTCCAAGCTCAGACTGGCAGCGCCAATTACCTCACGATGCCGTCCGCTTCTCGCCATGCAGCGATCAGCCCACTGGCACAAGTCCGGGAGGGCAAAACTACCGGACACCGACGTTCGTCAACCACAGCCGACAGGATCAGGTCGTTCCGTTTGAATCAGCGGAGCGATTCATCACTGAAACTGAAGGCGCAGGGAGTAGTGGGTGATCTTCTTGGACTGAAGTTGGTGTCCCGTTTGCATGATCAAGAATGCAAAGGAGTCAGCAGAGTTAAAAAGGACAACATGATTGCATGAGATTTGTCTCTAGGTACTACCCGAAGAGGCAATATAAGGAATCGAATGAAATTGATTCGTAGTAGTACTGATGGCAACGGCAGCCCGATGTTGTAGTTGAGGAGGCGATAACTATTAAACATTAGGGAAACCGCTACTTCATGGTGTAGTTGTGCGAATCAACATATGGTTGTTGGAAGATAAACAGTAAAGTTCAAATGATTAGATTAAGTTTTATCGTTACCACTACAATATCTACAAGAACATCTTCAAAAGCCCACACACACACACACAACACACAGAAACATCCAAATCGTGTATAACAAAAACAATTCTAAGAAATGTAAATTAGATACAAGTGTACGATGTTATGTAGATCGGTCCCGAACCCACAAAAAAATTCTCCACCAACCTGATACAAACCTTTTTCTTAAATTGGAGTGGATAGCCGACCGATAAAACAGACCAAATTGCGTACCCAAGGGACTCCCTTCAAAAGTGGACTGAAAGTGGACTAAATGATTTACTACGTACTGTGGATCCCCCCAACCCACCTCATGAAAAAGAGGGGTTAACTAACTATGTGGGGAATGATTTACTCACTCCGTCGGAAATACTAACTATGAGGTTGAGTTGAGTCAGTAAGTAGGTTTACTTTATAGGGTAACTAGCTCAGTCATATATACATAAGCATGACTCTATCATTAGATTATTTTCTATTTACTCTTTTAGTACATGAATTAAAAGTACTACGTATAGCAAATTAAATAATTCATGTTAGTTAGTTATCGAGAGATGAATTACTAATCCCTCCCACCCTCACTCCCACTGACTGACTAACCAATAACTGATTAGTTAACAATTTACCAATTCTCCTGTGAGTCTAAAGTACATTACATATTAACATACCTTGCACCGCCACAAACCACATTTTCGGAGAATAATAATCATAATCATCCCATAAAGCAAGGAAGGAAAGAAAAAAAAGAATTGGGAAAGAAATCAGAAACATGCATGCATGCATGGTTTTTGTACGTACGTACGTTATGAAAAATGATGTATGTTATGTATGTATGGTGATGCCATGCATAGCTTCCCGTAGTTCTACTGGAACAGGGGTGCATACGTATGATGTCATACCTATTGGCCCTTTTTTCATTTCATTCTTTCCGAAACCACCAGCCAGCAAGCACCAATGTCTTTGATAAAAGTACCCTTACAATATGCATTGGGAGGTATGTGTATGCATAATGAGTATTTTTATTATTTAGTGGTATTGGTGTTGGTATTATCATTAGATTGGACTATTGTATGTTTGGGCTTCCAAAACGTCTTCCTTTTGGTACTTTTTAGGAAAGTAATTGGGTACCTGCCGATGACACCGTGCAGTGTGCAGCAGATGTTCATAGCTTCTTCCGCTAGAAGCTCTCAAACTAACTATTGAGAGCTTTCAGGCTGACAGGTCCCAATAGCCCCTTTTTTCTGAAACAATATTCTCTACAAGCAGACGGAAATAAAGGAAGAGTAATCATAATAAAGGTGGTATATATGTCTTTCACGATATATGTATACATTTCATACTGTACATGTTTTTTCATCACAATCTGCGCGCCAAACCCACCACCATGCCGACCCAATGCAAACGAAAATAGCTGCAGCAATAAATATCTCATCACGTAACAATCATACAGGGGAC